TAAAAATATTTTCTTATATTGAATCCAAATCTGTATCTGTGAAATTGCTCTAGCACTTTGTTTCTGGAGCAACAGAGACAGGCCACTTGGGGACTAGCTTTCATCCCTAGACCCATGTAACTGCCTTCAGTAACTCACCTGAGAATCATGAATTATTACTGCCAGATGTGGCCTTTCTATCACTGGCATCTCGTGCCATTTTGATTCCTTCTGTTCCTGAGTCAGATTAGTTAGGCTTAGTTGGAGTTAACAATATTTCTTACCTTGCTTTCTTTATAATTCTCATTGCAACAACTATGGGTTATGCCCTTATTTCTTCACACCTGGCTATATCAATAATCTATACCTTTTTTTTTAAGTCTTGTGCCTGCCCTCTTATTCCTCTGTTACCAGAATAATTTCTTTAGAATGCAGCACAGATCCCACTGGCCACAAGCTCCAAATTATACATTGCTTATCAAATTAATGGTGACATTCAAGGCCCTTTATATCTGTTGTCCTTCCCTCTCTTATAAGTACGTGATCTTAACTTCCCACCATGCCCCACTCCTCACCCCTGAAAGCGCCTCTGTGCCATCTAGGTTTGCTCATGGCTGGCCTGTGCACACGCCTTGTGCATTCTTGACTCTCAGTCTTTGCAATCCTCATCTTCTTCTTTTCCAGTCTGGTGTTCAAAATATAACTCAAATCTTTCCTGCCTTACCGGTTTAGAATGACCTTTGATGCACCCACTGCAAATACACTAGCACATAGTTACACACTAGCTTTTATTGTAAATTTAAGTCCTTAAGACAATGAGTCTTTTCAAATATACTGCAAGTTATGTGGAGGCCATTACAACATTCTTATATTTTTTGTGTGTGACCCCCAGTTCCTGGGCCTATAAGTTGACTGGAGAATGATATTGATAGGTTGTATTTTTTTCCCTCAAATGAAGGAATCTACAAAAAAAAATGGAAAGAGAAATTACTTGAAAACTATGTTTTAGCAAATATTTAGCAAAATCCAAAGAATTAAAATAATCATGGAGAGATCTTTAAAATAAGTAGATATTTAGTAACATTGAGAGGGATACAGCTCCTCTAGATGTTTTTTTTCATGGTCTTTGAAAAGGGGTTTTCTTTACTACTGCTAAAAAATGTCCACCTCTATCTCAGAAAAAGTACTTTCTTTATTGTTCCTAAAAAAAAAAAAATGTCTAGTTCTATCTCAAAGTACAATTTAGAGCTTGAAATCCTTCACCTGCAAACTTGGCAGTGAGGGTGAGTAGGTGGCTGAGTTTAGGCACATTTGATTATTGCCAAACAATTAGCCACAGTCCCCATAGATAAGGTAAAAATCGTGGCTGCCTGCCCTATATTTATTTGTCAATCCTAATTCATAGTCATGAATAAAGTTTTCCCTAACTCAATCTATCCCAAACTGCCTGTCCTTCGAAGCTCTATGGGAGCAGCCTGTGTTCTCTCTCTCTCTCTCTCT